AATCCTCATAGTATCTAAGTGGCATGTATACTGTTACCCCTTTTCTGTAGATGGAGAAACTAGGGCTGGGGATGTACCTAAGTGGTGAAACATGTCACTAGCATGTGCCAGGCGTTGGGTTCTATCCTTAGTGCTCCCCAAATAAATAAGAAAAATAAGAAAGTAAGGTTCACAGAGAGAAACTATGCTCAAGGAAAGTCATACTGGGTGGTATACAGTGRAGCCCAAATTTTAACGTAGGGCCTCCATTTCTGTACTGTTAAATGTAACTGTTATGTTATATTGCCTCTTGTATTGAGAGCCATAAAGGTTCTCTAGTCCACTTATGATATAGATGGGAAGGTGAGGGTAATTTAAATAAATTCTTACTATTTATTTAAATGGGCTAACATAGTAGAAAAAACACTGGACTAKATCTTCTTGGCCTCTTATTTGGTCTCCAACTCTTCATGTTCTCCTCCCCTTGAAGTTCAAACTACTTGTTATTTTTTCTGCTTAAAAATTTTCCATGACTTTCACTTGCATTCTCTGCTTTTCCCTTCTTCAGTTACTTTGTGTTTCATTATATCCTCGCTCTCCCAGGACCCCAATCCTGAATGCCTTTTCCCTTTTCAGTGTCTTTATATACATAGTTCTTTCTTCCAAAAATGTCTTCTTCCACTTTTGCTACTTGGTGAATGCTTTAGAACACAACTTAGCTATCATTTGAAGACTTCCTGGTACCTTATGAAGGATTTATCCCCCTTAAGCCACCCAGGTCCCTTCTACCTACTCTCTGGCATTTATCATTGTATGAAAAGTAATAATGTCTTTTTCCTATGCTAGACTAAGCTCTGTAGGGGACAGTGAATGTCAGTTTCTTCATTTAAAAATAAATTTCATTGCTGAGCACTTTTAAAAACAGTGTATAGATTATAGTAGTATCTCTGTGAAATTGGGCAAATGATTTAACTTTCCTGAATAGGGTTTTTATTCTGAAAATCAGGATATTAATTTTTGTTYTCCCAAAATCACAATGCTATTATGAAGATCTAAAAAGATAGTACATGTGAGTGCTTTGAATATGTCTTAATCTGTTACATTATGTGGAATATTATTGTGATAACTTAAAAGTATCTCATGTTTAGCTTAGATTTTGCAATAAAATCTGAAGACACTTGTGTATTTCTTTTTTGTATCCAGTAGTTTATCAGATTTTRTATTATTGCTGCCACTTATATTAACCACATGTTTTCATAGAGAGCTTGTATTTATGTTAAAATGAGGATAACTAATGGTATTTGGAACCATTTTTTAAAATATTATAGAATACTTTAAAATATTTTAAAATGATTTTTAACTAAATATTTAATACATAATACTTTTCCAGGAATAGACTATTTCAATAATATCTTACACCATTTTTCTGCATGGTTTTATAATTATTTTTTTAAGAGAAGATGAAGGTGGAAAAAAACAGCATATTATTAAGCTGCTTTCCTGTATTATATCAACAGGTTAATATCATACACTGTCAATTTTTGTTTTCCATTATTCTGTTTTCCCAAACAGTGAAATTTGTGTATTAAATGGTTAAAGGCCTGTGAATATGTTTTTTACACTGAGTGGAATTCTGTAGCTTGCTAGTTTGCCAAGGAATTATCATCTTTTCCAAATATTTCATACATAAAGTGTATTGTTAATTTGTATGGATGATAACAAAATGAAACAAAGCTGAGATTGATTTTAAAAAAATAAAGCTTTTTTGAGCCCTTTAAAATTTTATCTTTGGGGAAAGAAATAGTTTTCAAGAACATTGCATTGTGTCCATGTTTTGCCATCTAGTGATCACAGCATAAATTGTTTATTCATTTTTTATGTTTATTTATTTATTTTTTATTTAGTTGTCTGTGTTTCTTTTTTCTTTTTTTTTTTTAAGCAGCAAAGAGGTGTTTATTGCGAGCTAGCTCGGTCCTCCGCGTGCACACACAGCAACTGGTGATGCTGAGAGGCCCCAAGCCCAGGGTTTGCAGCATTTTTATACATTCTTTGGAGAGGGCAGGGACTTCACATACATCATAGCAAATCATCACACACCGTGGGAAAATCAAATAACAACTCTAAAACATGATTAG